GAAGGGCTGTTAATATCACCATAAACAGGTAGTGTCACTGTTTTGGAATAATTGGCATGAAGCTTTTGGGTGTTCTCATAATGCATTTCATTTTGACCCTTCCATATGGCTTTGAATCTGCAGTATTGGCACTGAGCTTACACGAGATGATCGCAGAAAATTGTACTCTAATTTTGGCTTACTGTAAGAGCTTCTGCATCTGCTTTTGCTTATTTTTAACTACTATAAAAATATGCCTTCTTAGAGCTCCATTTTTGTGGAAACTGATATTGGTACAATTATTAATTAGTTATCCCTACGGTCTCGAGGAACTCGCAATCTCTGAGGATATGGATCAGGTACGTTAAGTCAATATATCTGAAAAAAGTTTGAATTATGTTGAATTTTTGCTGTCTTATATCTTTGCTCCTACTAAATCCTTGACTCTTTTTCTTGCCTAAGAAACTGCTCACCATGGCCCTAAAAACCATCTCTCTCAGAATGAAGATTGGAGGAGGTGTTAATTGTTTGAAATGCCCCCTTTTGAAAGTTTCTCTTCTTAATCAATGTTGGATGATGGAATGATGCCTATTTATGTGATTTTTTTTTTTGCTTTTGTTTGTTATTGGTAAAAGAACTTATATTGCCAAAAGCACCAAGTGGGGTGTGTCTTAGTACATGGCCTGTATAGTATATTATATAAATGAAACCATAAGGAGTTAATTTTTTTCTTTTTTGCAGGTGAGTTGTGGAGGCTATAAAACCTACAGAAGTAAAAGGGTGCTGTTGTTGTTGGACAATATAGGGAGTCTACTTCTTGTTGTTGATGATATAGTGCCAATTCTGAAAGGCTTTTGAATGATCGTTTTTTTCCAAATGAGTTAACTGGAAGAGAGAGAGAGAGTGAAGCCAGTCCTAAGGGGTGTAACAAATATGAAAATGAGATTTTTATAAATGGGGAAGGAGCTATAAATTTTAACGAGTCTGCTTAGGTCAGTGATCCTTTGAGTTGTTAACTCTTTGTGCTATGCATGCAGCTCATAACTGTATGGCTTTATTCTATTTCGAGCCATGTCCTTCTATTTTAGCATCACAGGACAGATATTTAGTTTTTTCTGCCTCGAGCTTTTCATTTTCTATAGTAACCTGCAATTGGCTCGTAATACCTGGTTGTGGCAGTTAATAATTAATTATTTATTCAACAATTATAGGTCCGTGGAGTCATGGAGAAGTATCCTCCTTATCAGTCCATATTTTCAAAGTTATCCTATGGAGAAAGCCAGATACTTGACAAGGCATTTTACGAAGAGGAGGTGAAACGGCTTTGCTTAGCATTTGAGCAGCAGGTTTGTTTCTAAGAGCTAGCAATTAAAAAGTCGAGAATTCTACACCTAGGAATAACAACAAGGTTTTTCTGAAGCATCTGAACAACACGACTGATTAGCATGGAGAATTTTATTTATTGTTTTCTGGAAACAACATTTCACATGTCTACTTGGTGCTCTTTATTTATTTATTTTGCAAAGTAATTTGTTCAATTGATTATCTGTATTCATATGTTATTGCAGTTCCATTATGGTGTGTTTTTTGCCTGAGGGAGCAGGAGATCAGGAACTTGATGTGGATATTTGAATGTGTTGCTCAAAACCAGAAGTCCAGAGTGCACGATAGCGTAGTTTTTATATTCTAATATTTTCAAAACTATTTTAGACCTTTACACTTTTGTTGTGTGTAAATTTTGTTGCACTTTGAAAGGAGTATTATGCTGCATTTTTTTTTTTTAACTTTCAGAATAAGTTGCGTAATGGTTATATAAGTCGGAGGAGAAATAATCTTGTGTTGATATTTATTATTGTACGTTACTCCGTTTATTTGTCTAAACATACAAAAAAAGTTGTGTTGGCATTTTTTTCCTATATTTCACTAGTCTTAGCCTTCAGTGCTTCTACAGTTTCTCTTACGGAAAGATTTCAATCTCTGCTAACTGTGAAGGTTCGCATACAGATTATGGTAGACTTCACATCCATAGTGGGTGAGATAAGGTAGAGGTGCAAAGTGGGTTGTGTGGGGAAATTTTTGAGGTGGCCTGGCTTTGCATAAACTTACATGGACTGTGTTGTGCCCATAAAGTTTTTACGTAATAAATTGGCACTTGTGTTTACCCAGTCCATGACACGGTTGTACCAAGTTGTATCGGGATGGACGATGCCTAGAGTGGCTGAATAAGTCTGGTGGTTCGGCACATTTTTCGATATCCAGCTTCATTCTGTTAGAAAACCAATTAATTGACGCTATATTATAAGGACAATTCTTGTAGTACATTATGAGATCCATAAGGGTCTACATAATGGACACTTTGCGATCTACAATTGGTTGGAGTGCCAGTCCCACAGGCACTCCCACCAATTG